GTCACTATATTTCCATTTTCTTGCATGTTAATTATTTCTTTGATGTAACTGCAACTAATGTTTGCGACAAACTATGCTAAATAATTTGGTATTAATATAGTTAAGGTTTTCCTTTACACGATTCAATTTGTTGTCTTCTAGAAACCGCCCAGAAATGTAATCGATTCCGTCACTATTATTTCCCTTTTCTTTTGTCACAATATTCGCATTTGTCAATTTTTCATATCTAGTATTTAGTTGATAAATCTGATGTAACTGCAACTAATGTTTGCGATAAACTGTGCTAAACAATTTACAAAGTCCTTAATTTATACTAAAATATATGCAATAATACTGGTGAATATACAATAAAACTATATTGATACAATTTGTTATTGTGTCTCCAACAAATTTAGAAATAAATAGAAAAGAAAACATTTAAAATATATAAATTTTATAATAAATGCATGTCTTATACACCTGATTAGGAATTGAACGACTTGTGTTCAATTTGAAATGTCACGTAACCTGCATATAATAAACTCTCTTCTATTTGTCTCGCTTTTTCCTCTTCTTTTCTTTTAAGTTTCTTCTACTTCTGTTTCTTGATCACATTTGCCATTCCCTATTTTTTTTAGCACATGTTTCCTTCTTTTACACGTTCTTAATTTGGTCATCTCTCTGTTTCTCTTTGGTCATCTTCCTCAAATTTTCCATATGTTCGTTTTGCAGTTTTGCAATTCGCAAATTAATTTCTGCTCCTTTTTTTTTAATACTTTCATTTTTTTCCATCCTTTTTTTTTTAAATTCATATTTGCAATCTGCTGCTTAATTTTCGCAATATTCTCGCAATATGAACTTTGTTTTATGAAATATGTTATATGATATAACTTAAAAACTTGGATTTCAAAAAAAGTCAAATTAGTCAACTATAAACTTTTGCAATTAGTTGTATTCACGTTATATTTGTAGTACTACAATAAATACAATAATGAAACTATCTGAAATATGAGAACTAAATCAATGTAGCAAGAAAATTTAAGTTCCTTCTACTTCTTTTCTTTTTTGGTTGAACGTTGTATTAAACAGTAGTTTCTAATACAAATCAAGAGATGGCGTTGCAATTATTTACAAATATGCACAATTTGTTAAAAAATTCTCATTAATTTTTTTATATTATTTGTTTTCGTAGAAACCGATTTTATAAGAGAGATTAGGATTTAATTGGAAAAAAAATCTCGATTAGTCCTATATTTCAAATATTGAAATATTTACCTTACACAATTCAACAGAAACATAATGTGTAACTATGTGATTATACCATTTAGTATATTGTAGCAAAAAAAAATAAGTTTCTTCTACTTCTTTTCTTTCTTGGTGGCACGTTGTATTAAACAGTAATTTCTAATACAAATCAAAAGATGGCGTTGCAATTATTTACAAATATGCACAATTTGTTAAAAAATTCTCATTGATTTTTATATATTTTTTTTTTTGTAGAAACCGATTTTATAAGAGAGATTAGGACTTAATTGGACAAAAAAATCTCGATTAGTCCTATATTTCAAATATTGAAATATTTACCTTACACAAATCAACAGAAACATAATGTGTAACTATGTGATTATACCATTTAGTATATTGTAGCAAGAAAATTTAAGTTTCTTCTACTTCTTTTCTTTCTTGGTCGCACGTGCCATTTCCTCATTTTCTTATTCTCAAGTTCTTTTTCAAGAAATATTCTAAATTTCTTCAGCTCTCTATTTCTCTTCCATCATCAACACAAATTTCGTCAAAGTTTTCATATACTTTCTGTTTCCTTTTGGCTTATCATTATTTTACTTTTTTGCTGCTTTTTCGTATAATTTTCTATCATTCCATATGTTGTCTTCCATAAACCGTCCAGAAATGTAATCGTTTCCATCACTATGTTTCGATTTTCTTTTAACACAATATTCTTTAACAACAATAGCAATCTTACCATTTCCATATCATGTTAATGGTTTTTAATTTTGCTTTGCACATAGTCTTCAATTCTTCTGTGAGATTGTTAATTGATCTTGAGTATGAATTATTTGCTTGGTAATACTGATGTAACTGCAACTTATGTTTGCGACAAACTGTGCTGAACAATTTGCAAAATCCTTAATTTGTACTAGTGTCCCTAATCCAACTGATACCTTTTTATTGTCTTATAACCTGTAGGACTTTAAGTTTCTTCTACTTCTTTTCTTTTTTTGTCGCATGTTTTTTAGTTATCTTGTTGCACATGTTCCCCTTTCTTGAAATATTCTTAATTTCGTCAGCTCTCTCTTTCACTTCTATCATCATCAGTACAGCTTTCCTCAAATTTTTCATATAATCGTTTTGCAATTCGCAAATTGATTTATGCTTTTGGCTTATCATAATTTCCACTTTTATTTTTATTCATATTTGCAACATTTCTGTCATTGTTGACTAACTCTATAAGTATATTTAAGGTTTTGTTTTGTATCATTCCGTATGATCAATGTAGCAAGAAAATTTAAGTTTCTTCTATTACTTTCCTTTTTTGGTGGTACGTTGTATTAAACAGTAATTTCTAATACAAATCAAAAGATGGCGTTGCAATTATTTGCAAATATGCCCAATTTGTTAAAAAAAATCTCATTGAATTTTTTAATTTTTTTTATAGAAACCGATTTTATAAGAGAGATTAGGACTTCATTGAAAAGAAAAATCTCGATTAGTCCTATATTTAAAATATTGAAATATTTACCTTACACAAATCAACAGAAACATAATGTGATTATACCATTTAGTATATTGTAGCAAGAAAATTTAAGTTTCTTTCCTCCTTTTCTTATTCTTAAGTTCTTTTTCAAGAAATATTCTAAATTTCGCCAGCTCTCTCTTTCTTTTCTAGCATCATTTTGGCTTAACGAAGTAGAAATAATCACTTTTTTTTATTAATATTTGTACTTTTTTGCTGCTTTTTTGTATAATTTTCTATAATTTTGCACATAGTCTTCAATTCTTCTGCGAGATTGTTAATTGATCTTGAGTATGAATTATTTGCTTGGTATAACTGATGTAACTGAACTTATGTTTGCGACAAACTGTGCTGAACAATTTGCAAAATCCTTAATTTGTACTAGTGTCCCTAATCCAACTGATACCTTTTTATTGTCTTATAACCTGTAGGACTTTAAGTTTCTTCTACTTCTTTTCTTTTTTTGTCGCATGTTTTTTAGTTATCTTGTTGCACATGTTCCCTTTTCTTGAAATATTCTTAATTTCGTCAGCTCTCTCTTTCACTTCTATCATCATCAGTACAGCTTTACTCATTTTTTTTCATATAATCGTTTTGCAATTCGCAAATTGATTTATGCTTTTGGCTTATCATAATTTCCACTTTTATTTTTATTCATATTTGCAATATTTCTGTCATTGTTGACTAACTCTATAAGTATATTTAAGGTTTTGTTTTGTATCATTCCGTATGATAGATAAAGTATGGAAAATATTGTAGTAAAAATACTTTTATATAATGATATTCCATCGAGTCTTTGAGAAAGTTTTCAGTTGAATTATATTTATGGATACGTTTCATTCTTAGCTTAAAAACCGTAAAAATCTCTCTCTCACCGTCAGTTTTCGTGGTCCCTCGAGAGAAAGAAGAGGAGTGAGAGTAGGAAAACGAGAGATTGTAGCAAACTGCAATTTACACCCGTGGGATTAGAGTGATAAATGGGTGCAAAAAAAATTTTTGTGTGTATAAAGAGAAGGGGGCGTCGCGTGTTTATTTGTGAAATGTAATTTGCAATTTCTGGGAATTTATGATGGAAGAAAAATTGATGCCCCACAGTCGCCGCAACGTAGAATCAATATTTGCGTAAAGCAGGCTACTACAATTTGCGCAAACCAGTGTACGATTTGCGCGAAATCTAAATACGGTTAATTGTTTTAAGGCGTCCGACAATACTGGCTCGTTATTGCATTGTGTCCGCATCTGCATCTCATCCCGGTAATCTTGGTATTCACGCTTCGGTGGGATGGTGGTGGTGCATTTAGCAGGGCTTGTTATTATCGTCATAAACTTACCAGTAGTCGGGACTTCCGTGGTCGTGGTCGTCGTTGTTGTAGTGGTCGTCGTCGTCGTCGTTGTCGGCGCTTTAACTTCTGCACAGAAACAAATTCATTAGATCCAACTTTATCAAAATGTATACGGCTTTATGTCATAAACATAACGTGTAACAGCTATGCTGTAATACCATTTAGTACACTGAAGATTTAGTAAACAAAAGAGGCAAAAGAATAATTTGTACATCAAATCAAAAGATGGCGTAGCATTTATTTATAAAAAAATAGTTTTTTTAACTTAAAACTTACAAAAATTCACATTTTGTTAAAATTTATTACATTTCTCATGCAATGTGTTAAAAAATTCTGATTGAATTTTGTTTTTTTTTTGTGCAAACCGAGTTTATATGAGAAATTAGTACTTAATTGAAGAAACAAATATCGATTAGTCCTATATTTAAAGTATTGAAATATTTACCTTATACAAATCAACAGAAATTATGTAATTATACCATTAAGTACACTGAAGATTTTGTAAATAAGAGACAAAAAAGTAGTTTCTAATAGAAATCAAAAGATGGCGTTGCAATTATTTACAAATATGTACATTTTGTTAAAAAATTCTCATTGAATTTTATATTTTTTTGTACAACCGATTTTATAAGAGAGATTAGGACTTAATTGAAAAAAAAACTCGATTAGTCCTATATTTCAAATATTGAAATATTTAGCTCACACAAATCAACAGAAACTATGTAATTATACCATTTAATACACTGAAGATGTTGTAAATAAAAGACACAAAAAAAATAGTTTTTAAAACAAATCAAAAGATGGCGTAGCAATTATTTATAAAATAATAGTTTTTTTTAACTTAAAACTTACAAAAATGCACATTTTGTTAAAATTTATTACATTTCTCATTAAATTTAGTTTTTTATAAACCGATTTTATAAGAAAGATTAGCACTTAATTGAAAAATACTTGATTAGTGCTATATTTAAAATTTTGAAATATTTACTATAAAAAAAACAACAGAAACTATGTAATTATACCATTTAGTACACTTAATATTTTGTAAAAAAAGAGACAAAAAAGTAGTTTCTAAAACAAATCAAAAGATGGCGTAACAATTATTTATAAAAAAAAGATACAATTTTGTATCTTGAAACTGATTACATTTCTCATTAAATTTAGTTTTTTATAAACCGATTTTATAAGAGAAATTAGCACATAATTAAAAAAACTCGATTAGTCCGTTATTTAAAAGTTTAAAATATTTACTATAAAAATATCAACAGAAACTATGTAATTATACTATTTAGTATACTGATGATTTTGTAAACAGAAGAGACAAAAAAATAGTTTCTAAAACAAATCAATCAAAAAAGATACAATTTTGTATCTTGAAATTTACATATATTCACATTTTTGTTAAAAAATATTACATTTCTCATAAAATTTGATTATGTTTACATACCGATTTTATAAGAGAGAGATTAGTACTTAATTAAAAAAAAAAACTCGATTAGTCCTATATTGAAAATTTTGAAATATTCTACTAAATCTACTAAATTATGTAATTATTCACAAATCGAATGGTTAAATTTGGGAAAGCAAAAATTATACCAAAAAATTTTCAACACCAACAGATGGCGCTGAAATACAATTCACAAATTTCTATTGTATTTTTCTTGCATAATCCATCAAATCCTCGCCAAATTTTATTTACGTATCAAAACCAATTCACAGATTTCCCGTTTTAATTGATTTCCACTTTAATCCAAACTATATATGGACATATTTTTATTTTATTCTATTTCAAATCTATTTCACTATCTCTCTTCGAATTGTGTTTTAATAGGTTTTTCGTCGGTGTAACAACAACAATAACAATCGTAGTTCGCTTTACATTCGAAACGAGCGCTCGTTAAATTTAGTAAAATATAAAAATAATAATTACTGCCTTTTCGGATATTAAATTTTCACTACGATCAGTTAAAATTACATTACCATTCGCATTTCCTTTATATATCAAAAGCATTTATTGCACCCATTTACATATCTGCATTTGAATTTATAATAGAAACGCATTAAAAAAAAATTATACATACAAAAATTATTCATGAATTTGTATTCAATTCATATAAATTCGTCTGTACTGTTTTAAACTCTTCAAAATTTGAGACAATTTTTAAGTTGCAATTTACATTTTTATTCTGCAATAAAAAGTGCATATTTTTTTGATTCTGAACTGAAGAAACTATTAACAAATTAAGTTAACAATAGGATTGAAAAATAATAAAGTTGCAATGAATAATTTAGATTATTCTTTACGTTTTTTTTTATAAAACAATAATTTTACTGCATTTCGTTTATTAATACATGAAACGCAGTAAAAACAATACCCGAATTGCAAATATTTGCGTGGATTCAGCGGATTGTAACAAAAAAAAATAATATTACGAACTCGCCAGTTTATCGTTATTGATTAATGCAAATATTATTTGATCTGCCTACAGGATAAAAAAAAAATTGTACAAATTAATTGAATTTAAAAGCGAATCATTTTGTGTAAATCGAATGAATTTATAAATAAAAACCATTTTATTGAATATATTCAATTATTTTTTTAGAAAATGCGAATAAATCTGTTAATTTCATTAAAAGAAAATTATTTATACATTTCCAAATGAAATATATGTAGTTTTTTTTTATATATAAACATATTTTTGTGCTGTAATTTGGACTATAACTTTTTGGTTTTCGTTAAAAGTTTAGTAAACTTTTGTTGGCCCTAATTTGTGCAAAATGGACTTAATTTCTATACTAAATAATATTAATTTATTTAGTAATAATGTGTAGTGTGTTTATTAACAATATATTGTTAAATTAAACATAAATAGAGCTTTAAAATATTGTTTTTAAGTATCATTATTATATATTAATTGGAGTTACGTAAATAATGCTTGAATTATTAATCAACATTGGTAAATATTTATGATTATGAAATGAGTGTCGATACAAATTGCGTTGAGTTCATTACAAAATTTGATGAATTTGTTAATAGAGAAAACGAAAGCTTTGTAAAGTGGATAAATTGGAATGTTTTGTATGCACATCGAGTTTTATATTTATTTTAATAATTATTGGATTGTGTTTGAAGTGAAATCAATTACATTTTGTACGTATTACAAGTCAAATTCAATTAATTGCTTGCATTCGTTTAGAAGCTTCGTTTTACAATGGAATTATTGTTTAGAAAGTATTGTTTTTGAATAGATTTGAAAAATTTAGATCAATGTGTAAATTTTGTGAAATTTATATTGTAATTATTCTTCAGAATTTCTTGATTTTGGTATTGATTTTGTTAATGAAATTTGTTGTTTTCTTAAGAATTTCATTGATGAATTGAAGTAAATAAGTAATGACGAGAGAGTGAATGGAAAAATTGGTTTAATGAAATCTGTCTTGATTTGTTGAGGATGTTACATAAATGAAAGGAGGTTAAAGTGCAAGTGACGTGACGTATATGTCAATTTAATGGAGCTGTCATTGGCAGAGCCCTCTCGTATCAAAGACAAGGGATGGTATCCAATTTGGTACAGGAAGTAACGGATGGAGGCCGTAAAGCGGGGATTGCGTAACGCGTGCGAATTTATTCATTTTAATGTATTAAATAAGGGCGTAAAACGGACCCGGACAATTGGATTGGATCACTTACCGTACAATCTGGCCGAGCTGTCCGCTTTCCCGAGTACATTCGATGCGTAGCATTTGTATGTGCCGTAATCAGAGTCCGTGACGTTGTGAACGGTTAGGATCATCGTCAGTTTGACTCCGGTTCGTTTCTCCTGCAAAGTGTGCTTGTGGCTGCAAATAAATACGCTTGTTGAGGTATAGCTTTAAGTTTGGATTGTAAGAGAGAAGGGTGTCAACAGGTCTGCTGATGAATTTACCTGGTTATGAGGGTGTCATCGGGCTCTTTAATCCAATAGTTGTTCGAGTTGGGGAAAGCCTCGACGTCGCACTTCAGCTTAGCGTTTGATCCGAGTGGAACTCCCACAAGAGGCTTGAAAACTTGCACCGCCGGAGCAACTGTTTCGTGGAGAAGAACAAAGTTTACTGGATTTACGTGTCCTGTTGCATTAGTCATTGCCTGATCTCAGTTACAAAACTGTGAATAACATAAACTACAATATAAACTCAATGATAATTACTTAGTGTCACATGTCCAAAGGTTTCAATTTACGACCTTTCTTCTGTAATTCATTTAAGAAAGTGACACTTATTAATTTGAAAACTAATTTTATTTCTCGTGGATATTATGATTTCATATCATATATCCATGGGATTCAATTTACGACCTTATTTTGTAATTAATTCAAGAAAGTCATTTCTTTTAATAATTTTATTCTTCGGGAATTATAATGACTTGATTTCAACTGTCCAAATGCGAATGGGTTTCAATTTACGACCTTTTTTTCTGTAATTCATTTAAGAAAGTGACACTTATTAATTTGAAAACTAATTTTATTTCTCGTCGATATGATGATTTGATATCATATGTCCATTTGATTCAATTTACGACCTTATTATGTAATTAATTCAAGAAAGTCATTTGTTTTAATAATTTTATTCTTCGCGAATTATAATGACTTGATTTCAACTGTCCAAATGCGAATTGGTTTCAATTTACGACCTTTTTTTCTATAATTCATTTAAGAAAGTGACACTTATTAATTTGAAAACTAATTTTATTTCTCGTCGATATGATGATTA